TATTCTTACAACAGTTTTGACTCGTGCAGTCGCATCATTCTTTTCTAACCGGGGAATAGTTAAATATATTTATAAAAAAAAAAAAATATATTAGTAAAGATGAAGCAAAAGAAGCTATCGATGGAGATATTCAAGATATCAATGAAGAAGATATCGAAGATAAAAAAAAGGTTTATGCACAAGTCAGCATTATGGATATTCATAATGTTAAAAGTTTTAATATAAATAAGGATAAGTATGATGGTAGCAGCATTATAAATCCCAAGAAATTGGAAAAATATTTAGTTGATTCTACGGGTAGTTATATTTATGTTTATAAAAAAGCCACAAAAGAAAAAAGTAATCCAGAAGAAAATACAAAAGAAAAAGGCAGTCCAGAAGAAAATACAGAAGAAGAAAATACTTCAACAAAAAATATTACAGAAAACGATGATGATGAGATTACTGTAGATAAAAGTGTATCTACAGGACCAAGTCCAATAGAAGAAAAAAAAAATAAAGATACAATTACTAAGAAGCCCAAGTCTAAGCAATATTACTACGTTATGCCTGTTCAGGATTCTATGTACTTTGTTGAACTTGAATTTGATAAAAATAAAATCGAGAAAAAAAAGCATGCGTACCAGAACGAAAAGAACAAATACATTGAGGCAAAGAAAAAATACAAGGATATATTAAAAAAAGAAAACGAGAAAGAAAATGAAGAAGAAATTAAAAAGCTCAAAGAAATAAAGGATAAATATGAAAAAATAAAGAGCAATTACAATCAAATTTTAGAGAAGGAAAAAAAGGAGAAAAACGTTAACAAATACGAAAAAATAGAGAATGAATACAAGAAAGTAGAGAATGAATACGAGAAATCAAATGATAGTGCAAAGGAGGGGATGAAGATTGAATACGAGTACAAAAAGAATGAATACGAGTACGAGAGGGAAAAAATAGCATACAAGAAAAAGTGGAAAGAATATGAGGAAAAAAAGAAAGAATATGAGGAAATAAATGATGAATGCGAGAAAATAGTAGGAGTCGAGAAAATAGGAGGAGGCGAAAAAATGAAAGAATACGAGAAAAAGTGGGAAGAATATCAGCAAAAAAAGAAAGAATACGTGGAAATAAAGGTTGAATATGAGAAATTAGAAGGAGATAACAAGGAGGCGAAAAGGACTGAGTACGAGGGAAAAATGAAAAAATACGAGGAAGAAATGGAGGAATACAAGAGGAAAAAAGAAGAATATGAAAGTAAAATGAAAGCATACAAGAAAATAAAGTATGAATACGAGAAATCAAAAGGAGGAGATAAAAATAAGACTGAACACGAGGAAAAAAAGAAAGAATATGAGAAAAAAAAGAAAGAATACGAGGAAGTAATAGAGGAATACAAGAAAATAAAGGAAGACGAAATGAAGAATGCAAATGATGAGTACGAGAATGCAAAGAAAAATTACGAGGAGGCAATGACAAATTACGAGAAGGCAATGACAAATTACGAGAAGCCAATGAAAGGTTATTTGAACAAAATTGAAAAGGATAAAGAAGTAGAGAAGAAGAAATTCTATGAAAAAAGGGATGAATACGAGTATAAAAAAACAAAGAAAGAATACAAGGAAAAGAAGAGAGAATATGAGGAGTCAAAGAGAGAAAAGGATAAAGCGCTTGCGAAGGCAATGAAAAAACCCGGGGATGGAAAGAAGAAAGGAGATGAAAAGGGGGAAAAACAGAGTGAAGCAAATAAGAACGAAACTGAACTTACTATACAGCAAACAATTCAGAAGGAAATGAAAGAATACGACGATAAAAATAAGAAAAAAAATGATAAAATAAAAAGTGAATACGCGAAAATATTGGAAAAATACATAAACGCAAAGGACAAAAGATATGAACAACGAAAGAAGAATATAATGACTGAGACAGAGGAAAAATACCAGAAAGCGAAGAAAAAATACATAAATGATAAGAAGAATGAAATAATAAAAAAATACAAAGATGATAAGCCGGTGAAAATAATGGATGAATTCGAGCAAGCAATTGTTGCAAAACACGCGATGGAAAAAATAGAATACGAGAATAAATTGACTGAATACGAGAAACAAATGGACGATTACGATTATTATTCTGCAGATCTTGATAATTTGTATGATGAGTACTATAAAATAAAGGGTGAACTCGAGGAAAAAATAGCTAAATTCGAATACGAGACAAAAAAGAAAGAATATGAGGAAATGGAGAAAGAGAACGTGGAAGACGAGGAAAGCTATAACGATGCAGAAACAAATAAAGAATATGAGAATGCAAAGAAAAATTACGATAAAATATACGAAATAAAAAAGGGAGAATATGAGAAAGCAAAGAAAAAATACGAGCAGGTAATGTTGAAAATAATTAATAAATACAAAGAAGCAAAGAAAGAATATGAGAAAGCAAAGGGGATGGAAATGAAGAATATAATAGAAGAAAAGAATGAAAGAACCAGGAAAATCAAGGAAGAAATCAAGAAAGAAATTGAGAAAATCAGGAATGATATAGGTTGTGATGGAATTGCATTTCACGACTATACTGGTGGAAGTTTCGAAAAACAAAATGAAATCTCCAGATTCAGACCAAATGACCTTGAAAAAGGACTTCCTTCTCCTTCTATTAAACTTATTAGAAATTGTGAGAAAATCGAAGGCCACGTCTTGATTAACATACTTGAAACAGGATTCCTAAATTATATTGTTTATTCTCATCGTTCTTCTAAACAGCCCGGATTACTAAAATGGATAAAATGGAAATACCATCTGTATATTAACCAGTCTGGTTGCAAACAATCCTGGAGAGAAGAGAAAATGAAATTGAGGGAAGAGGACCTTAAAGCGGAACTGGAAAAACTAGATCCCGCACGGAAGAAACAAGAATTAGAGGAGCTGATAAATCAGGAATTAGAGAAACTGGAGGAGCAGAAACAACGACTGGAGGAGCTGAAAGAGGAACAGAAACAAATAGGCCCATTACCTTATTATTTAATTTAAATTAAAGGGTTGGTTTTGACAAAAAACTCCATATCACACAATTTCTAATTAACATTAATATAATTTTATTTTATTTTAATATAATAAATAATAGTAACTTTTTCATTGTCTTTTGTTTTTTATTTTTTAAAAGAATTCATATATATATTATTCTATATTATTAGCATAATTAAATCTTGATGGTTTGTCACGGTTATTAATCGAAGATTCTTAATTGAATTTAGAAAAAACCACCTAATAAACGTAATCAATGATTTAACTTTTTTCTTCTTAATTTACATTCCTTAATTTCATGGTGATGAATATAAACATGCAGATTTGATAAAATTATATTTCATTTATGACATTATCTCTTCGATCATGGAATATTTAAAATAGAATTTGCACCGCTGCTATATGTTTTGACATTTGATCTTACCTCCTATGCATTTTATATTTTATTATATACTCGTTTTCTTGCTATATATGATAAGTAACTGTGCTGTTGTTAATTTTAATCTTTCTTATTCTATTTCATATTCTTAAGGGATCAATCATCTAAAGAAAGTTTTATTAGTAATGAGCGGGTTTGTTTCATTAAACATGCCTTACTATTTACAATAATAAATTTAGACGGATGTTTCTCTGTATCATAACCATTAACTAATCCTTCTTTCCAAACATCACTGCATAAACACCAATTTTGCCCAATTGATATCATCAAATCTTGGCCACTATTAATTATAGACTTATATTATTGCTTTATCACCAGGAAGAAGCAACGTGCTAAGTTCTACTTTACTGTGACAAGAATATCTTTGGGCTATATGAATATCTGTTCTGGTAAGAGGCTCCAGATTTTGGCTATTAAATAATGCTTCTTTCAGAGGTTCCGCATAAGTGAGATGGTGACTACAAAAATTAATGATCAATTTTCATGATTTTTGCAAACTTCTGTAAAAATCTCCCAACTCAGAGCGTAAAGAATCAGACATGGGTTTTAGATTTTTATTAAATGCTTCAACAAACTTGACTTTTGTCCTACAAAAAGTTTGGATATTTGTTTTTTTTAAGTAATACTAGCGATGTTAGTCTGTGGAAAAACTTTGTCGACTAAATCAAACAACTCTAAACTAAAGTTGGTGTCTGTAGATGTTTTCAACTGCAGATTTTAAAGCTCGAGTTGCAATCTTTTCTGAACCTCTACAACCCCTGCAACTGCCTGCAACTATAATTATGATGACTTAGTATCAAAAATGGAATCACATAACTGCAAAATGGGATTTATTGTTTTAAATAAAATCATATTAAAAAATTTTTTTTTGATAAAAATAAATTTAGTTTTATAGTGATTGAAGTAGCTGACCAACCAGAGGTTGCAGACAATTACAAACAGTTGCAGACAGTTGCATACAATTGCAGCAGTTGCAGCAGTTGCAGCATTAGATTCAATATTTTTTTGGGTCGCAACCTCCTGAGTTGCAACTTCCTAGTTGCAGAGCCATCTTTACTCTAAATCTACTAAGAAAGAACTTTGATAAAATAATTTAAAAACTTCTTAGATGGTATTATCATTACTACTATTTATTATTGTTTATATCATGATAAATCAGAACCATCAAATAGTGTTTTAATTCTCTTAGAGAGTTCTTAATGGTCAAAGTGTGTTTACCCTTACTAATTGTTGCTCTAAAAGCCTTAGCAATAACAAAATAATAAGTCCTGAAAATGAACATAAAATTATATATAGGGTTATAGTATATGAATCTGGATTTCTTTATTTTCTTTGCTATTATATTCCCACAACAGGTAGGATCAGGAAAAAGAACTACCCTGCTGTTACTCTTTTCTGCTTGTTCAAAAGAGATTTGTCTGTGCATTCATTTGCAGTAAGAATGAAACTGTGAGTGAGCTGATCAAAGCAGAAAATAGTAATAGTTTTACTAGTATTGGCCCTAATCAACTTAAACTCTGGAATGTTAAATTCACAACAATTGTCATGACAAATTGGCTAGTCTCACTCTCCAAGACCATGATGAGCCTTTAGCAACAAAAAAATTGGAAATTACTTTACTGAAAACCTGTCAAAGACACATTCACGTAATTGTTTGCCACCAGCACACTAGCCAAAAAGGGACAGAAAATTGGCAATATTAAGTATATCAACAATAGGGTCTTAAAGAATTTAGTTTTAGTCACCTTCTGACATGGCTTGCAGTACTCAAAAGTAGTGTAAAAGAGCATATAATGCATCTGATTGTTTCATAGTTTTTCTGTTTATAGTTCAATATTTTAAAAAACTACAAAGTGAACATAAAATGTATACATGTACATGAAGAATAAAAGTAATTGATATAATAATATGAAAAAGTAATTGATTTTTGAAAATATTATTGATGATGGTGATGATGATTAGAATGGTAAAAATATTATTATTAAGA